GGCCTGCGGGCCCTCAGCGCCTTTTGTTGGGTGTTCGGGGCCGTGCGGGGCTCTGGTGTCGGGCTGCGGGGTGGGCTGTGCGGGGCTGTGATCCGGAGGGTCCGGGCACGTGTCACAGTGGCCAATGGCCATTTGTCCTGCAACTTGTGCTCCTGAAGTTATATCTTGCTGTTTGTAGTTCTTACAGGACCCTGATGAAGAAATTGCTCAGATGGAGATGAGTAGAAAAAAGCAATATGAAAATCAGGTAATGCATTTGGCTTTAGATCCTATTCCTGGTAGTCTTGCCCTAGTTGTAACTTTCTAGTACCTCGTTATTAAGAACATGGTGCAAGAGATGTGCAGCTACCACGTGCTGTATAGCAGTGGGCAAGGGGGACTATCAACCCTCTGTTGAGGAGTGCACAACACTTCAGGTTATACAGGTTGCTTTGCAGTCTTTGCAAAATATGAGGCCTGTGTTGATTTAAGGCATTGTGTTCATACTTCAGTGTGTCCAGCTGTCCTGTTACTGCAAGGGTCCTTAATATGCATTTAGGCCTGCATGGAGGGACTCTGCATTGACTTCTCTAAAGTGCTGTTGGAGTACACTGATGTGCTTATGTGCTGTTCTTTACAGGCCAAAGCACTGGACTCTTAAGCATATTAAACAGAATAATTTCTTAAGTTGGTTCATTGCAGTCATGTATCTTACCTGGGTCTCACCTGGGAGAGAGGAAGGGTTCCCCTTTTATTCCCCAGTCATCTCCATTCCCACTGGCAAGAGTTATTGTCAGACTGACAGAAAGTAAAGGGTTCCTGATTAGAACTTTGGAGTTTATCCTGATGCTAATGCAGTAGGAAAACAGGGTCCATTTCTCTGCAGAACAAAGGGGTAATTTCTTAAGGAGTAAAATCACTTAGTTGTGGAAATCAGGCCTGCAGTGGAGGTTAGTAGTAACCATTGCCAGCTTTCTCAGTAAGGCATTTAGAATTATCTGAGTTGCAAAGTCAAAACTTTAGTAGTGTCCTTTAGCTCCCTTAGTGCCCTTTCTGCAATCTTTGGACCCAAGATGCTATTGGTATCTGTATGGGGTGCTGTATTGGTATATGGTATCAAAAGCATCATGATTCCATTCATTGAGATGCCCATTCTGAAATAGGTTTATTCCCCTCCTTCTTTTTTTTCCCCTGCATGCACACACATGGTTGCTCAGGCACTATCACTAGGGCTTCAGCCTGTTAATGCAGGGTGATACTTAAGCTGCAGAAGTCATGATCAGGGAGTACAGACCATCCTCATTTCGTGCACAAGGCTATGCATAATGTGGCATATCTAACCAGAAGTGGCAGCTGGAAGTTTGAAGACTAAAGTGCTACCATAACAGATGGGCATCATTGTTTGGAATGGCCTCTGCTTGTTGCAACTGCGTATACTAGTTATCAGTCAACATATTAAGCAGGGCTCAAATGGTGAGCATTTAATGAGGGCATCTCTCCTTCCCTTCTGTCTTTCTTTTGTGCAGTATATTAAACTAATTTCTCACTTCTGACAAGGAAGAGCTGCCTGTCCTTCACCACAGCTCTCCTTCACCATAAGATTCATTCTGTTAGAGCTAAGCAAGGGCTTCTTGTGCATGTTTATTGCATAATAATAAGGTATTGTTAAAAACCCCTCAACAGGGACCCAATTTTACCGTCTTTCAGAAAGATGGTGGAAAGAAACTTACAATATATTTTGCATGCGTTGACCTTCAACTTTGAAAGTAGATAAATGCTTTCAGTTTTGTGTTCTTGTTTGTGTTCCTGGCCTGGTAGACTTTCAGTGTTCCTTCGGGAATTATAAGTAGATTAAAGTTTAGATAATTTAGACAGTAGGCATCCAAAATACATACTTGGGAATTCAAGTTAAGCTTAGGATACTGGTGGGATTTGGCCCTTTGATTCTGTAAACTGTAAATAAAATGGGTACCTGTGTATCCCTATCTTCATAGAGAATGTTTTTTTGTTGTGACAAAGTAGCCAGATTGTTACAGATCTGTTTAAAAAAGCTAACATTTGGCTGCACAGCAGCAGCTCTTCAGTCGATGGTGTGACACAAGCTATTCTCTGATATAAATTGCCATGGGCCACTAATGAGAATATGTTTACGGTTCCAGCAGCCATATAGCAGGCTTGTATGATAGCCAGTGCGGTAGTTATTCTGTTGAGGCACAACAATTCTACAATGCAAGTAGCTATAAATCCACTGCAGCCTATACCACACGACTTCTACATTAAATAAATTGTTTACTGACACTAGTTTATACACAAGGCAAAATATCATAGTCGCATCCCACTTTACAGCATCTTCATAGTCAATTCATTAGTTTGCTTCTGTTGAACATAAGGCCTGAGTTCTTAATTAGGATGCCGTTACCCTTTATGTGATGAAAGGGTGGCTGTATCATCAGGTTTGTGACAGCAGAATATTGCATAAATTCTGTGTTTGATTTTAGAGAACTGGCACTGCTGTAATTCTGCTAGCAATTCTCATATTAATTTTTGGCTGCTTTCTATGCACAGATAAACTTCCAAGGCTCCATGTAAAACAAAATTCATCTAACTAGATTAGAGTAATTCATGCCATTTTGTTATGAATTACATGGCCACCTCCATCTAGAGTGGAGAATTGAAACTAGAAGTGAGCTTCTTTGGCTGAAACAAGCTCTTGTTTGCAGAGGAGAAGATGGAGTAAACTTTCAAGAAGTACTTTTGATTAGTTCCTCACTATGCATTTTTCCAGAATCTGGTCTTACCATGTTGAAATGCTCATTTCTTTAACTAGTCTGAATTCTCTTTGGAAGATCCAATTTAAAAATAAAAACAAAACAGAACCACCCCCCCCAAAAAAAAAAAAACACACAAAAAAAAAAGGGGCAGGAGAATATTCAGACTTCTTAGAAAATTAATAGTAGTATTTGCTATTCAGAAAGAACTGGAAAAAATAATGTGAGTTGCTCCTCAGCTATTTATTAATTCTGGAGTCCCTTTCTGCTGGCAAAGAAACACCACTACATGTCAAACTAATGCATCCTGTGAGTGAAAAATGACTGGAAGTATAGGTCTTAAAATTTCTAATGGGCAAACTAAGGCTACAAAAAAAAAACACACAAAAAAAAAAGGGGCAGGAGAATATTCAGACTTCTTAGAAAATTAATAGTAGTATTTGCTATTCAGAAAGAACTGGAAAAAATAATGTGAGTTGCTCCTCAGCTATTTATTAATTCTGGAGTCCCTTTCTGCTGGCAAAGAAACACCACTACATGTCAAACTAATGCATCCTGTGAGTGAAAAATGACTGGAAGTATAGGTCTTAAAATTTCTAATGGGCAAACTAAGGCTACAGTCTAGTAGTTGGTACCTCTGTTATGATGTGCTGCTTTTTAGGGGGAGACAGACAGGCCTATCCCCCTGCTGTTCCTCTGCCTCTGATTTTCATGCTGAAAATCCTCTGACCTTGCTGTTTGAATGCATTTCTGGGTCACCTTTCTCTGCTTTCCAGCTGCCCTTCTTGCTCTGGGTTTTATGGAAGCTTGTTCTGGTGTCTCCCAGCTCATGTTGAGATGCTTAAGTGTCTCAGTGGCTTGTATTCCTGGGTGTGGTTGCTTCACTTGAGGGCTCTGCCTGTAGCAAATAACCCCAGTGGTTGCTACCTGCTCCTTTGTGTGTATAGCCTATATACCTGAAGAATGTCCAAAAGATGTGTTGAAGTGAATGGTATATCAGTGAATGATGACATGCTGCATAAAACTGAGGTGTGGGCATCTTTGAAGTTAAAGGAAAACACTTTTGAACTCCTGGATTTTCTTTATTTGGAGCTGTGTGCGCTTGACTGTTCTGTTGGACTTCTATCACCCACCTTCTGCCCTTCTTGGTGCTGCTCTTCCTAACAAGCCTTCTCATGGCCTCAGCTCATTTTTTCCAATCTGTATTTAGTTCTCAAGTCTGAGATACAGCTCAGTATCTGATCAATTGTTCCTATTTCTGTATCTGGAATATTACTGTGGGGGTCACCAAACTTTCTGGGCTCCATATAGATTTGAAGAGGCAGTTTTCCCTACTGATTTTTTGGCTTGCATCCTACTTCAGCTCCTATTTGTCTGAGAAGTAAGCCCAAGACTGTAGGATTTCCTCCATTAGACTGCACAGATTCTCTGTAACATCTGTCACTTTTTGGCAGCTTCCTGCTTGTAGGTTGGCTCTGTGCAAGCCCAAAGGAAGTTCTTCATGGTTTCCTCTCAACCTCCCCTCCTTAAACTGTTGTTTTTTTCAGTGGTGGCTTGTATTTCCTTACAGTTACAATGTGATGTAATGCAGTTTCTTGATATTATTTCTTAATTTTGGTTCCATCTCTTTCTAAATCTGCTTTAAAGACTCAGGAGTCTGATTAATATGCTCATTTCCTCAATGGAAATCCATGCCAGAGCTATGGTGTTCCCTCACTAATTCAAACTCCTGTCTCTGTTCCTGGTAGCCTCTTACTTTTGAGGGCCCTATATAATTGTCTCTAGCTAAGCCATGTGCTTTTTCTGTTGTTTGCATTGTTTCCCTGATTGTCTTGATGAGTGACATTATCTAGTAAAAAACTTCTTCTCTTCTCAAAACCTGTAAGAGGTTGACCCTTGATTCATATTTCCTTATAGAAGATTAGGGGTGGTGAGGTCTCTGAAATCAGTTGTTGCTGCAGTGTAGTATGTGAGGTATCTACTTTGTTTAACAATTCTGTGGAGCAAATCTTGGCCTTCAGAAGCTGCCGGTGTAGTAGGCACCTTTAGACACTATATAATAACTGCTTCTCTCTTGGTTTGCTGATTAACTGATAAGGTAGCACTTCTCCAAAGGCTGTTGGCAGCTGGTCTTGCCATGCAGTTTGGAGGACAAAGTGTTCCTCTAGTTTCAAGGGAGGACAAAAATTAACTTTAAGCAATCTGATGTGACACTTTCATTCAGACTTTCAGTTCACAAGAACTGTCACTGAACACCTGTCATTTTTAAGATAAAGACACTGTTTCCTGCTTTTGCCTTCTCCCACCCAAATTAAATCATGGCATGACTGCATATGTAACTGTGCTAGATTTGCATGTAGAACTCCAATAAAAAAATACCATCTTAATGTAGAACATTTTACTGTTAGTACTTTAAAAGATTCTTTTGATTTTAAGTTGTTGCGTTTTGTTTTGTTCTTGAGGCATGGAAGGATCTTGTTAAAGATTTCTGTCCTTTTAGTGCTGGGTTTCACAGCAAGATGGCTGACTTCACTGCTAGGCAGAAATACCAAATTTTAATTTCATGGGGATGGCTTTGTATTCTGCAAAAGAAAACAAGTAGTATTTTCCTGGGGGACTGATACAACATACACCAAGATCTTGTTCAATAGAGTTAGGCAGAAAAGTAAATGTAAAATTAAATTCTGGTCTGTGGAGAACGGTCTGTCTTGTCCCCCCACATGAGACTGTATAAAATGGTCCAAATAAAAGGATATGATGGGTGAAGTGTTGGGTGTCTTATGTTTGCAGACCTTGGTGAAATTCTGTATTAGAAGTGGTCAACTTGATGCTTTAGTGGCAATTGCTTAACATGTTCTTGCTTTATTCCGAAAACAATTGGATTGTAAGCACTTAGTTTTTTTCCTCTTGGCACTGCAGAATGAATGAGTAAGAAAAATTCTATAAACTACTGCTTTGCTGTGTTCACTGTCAAGGTTGCTTTGCATGGAACCATGACTTCAGGCACTGCATCTACATATTCCTTACCAGAAATCCTGACCTTGTATTTGTATAATTATAATCACAAATTGGGTTTTAAAGTTCTGTCTGGTTATTCTTGACCTGAAGGCAAGCATCTTGCTTTCATGCAAAACATTTTGGTACAAACAAAATGCTGCATGGTGATAGGAGACTCTGACTTAGATATTCTATGAAACAGCTGTGGTCCTTCAAAAGGAGAACAGGGTAAATGTTCTTCAGCTTTAGTTGCAAACTTTCTCTACTGTGAAAGTAAGCAACGGCCTTCTACTTGGCACTGGTGAAACCACACCTGGAGTGTGGTCTGTGTCCAGTTCTGGGCTCCCCAGTACAAGAAAGACTTCAACATAATGGAAAGAGTCCAGCAAAGAGCCACCAAGATGATTAAAGGACCAGAGCATCTCTTCTATAAGGAAAGGTTAAGAGAGCTGGGACTGTTTAGCTTGGAGGAAAGAAGGCTCAGGAATATTGCATCAGTGTAGATAAATACAAGAAGGGAGGAGGATGTGAGGAAGGTGGAGCCAGGCTCTTTTCAATGATGCCCAGGAATGGGACTAGAGAAGGACACAAACTGAAGCATAGGGAGTTCTTTCTAATAATCACGAAACACTTTTTTAGTGTGAGGGTGACCAAGCACTGGCACGTGTTGTCCAGAATTGTGGAGCCTCCATCCTTAGAGATACTCAGAAGCCATCTGAACATGGTTCTGGGCCACTGGCTATAGGTGGCCCTGCTCGATTGTAGCTTCTGTCCTAGTTTTTAGCCAATCTCTTCTGTTTACAGCTAAAATTATTATTTAAAAGGACAGAGTGTAAAATCCTGTATTTCATTTAATAGCCATCATGGAAAAATGTTCACCAAAATGCGCATATGCTGATTCCTACTCCAGATAAAGATGATGATCCAGTTGGCATTGATTACTCTCCCTTTATAGAGCTAAGTGTTGTTCCAACTAGAGCTTCACCATTACCAGTGTTAGGGTAAGTGTGCCATTTTGCTGCTGCTTCTCCCCCTTTTGTCTTGTTATTTGAGACTAAACATGAATCTGTCTTAGCTGGGCGAACAGAGAGGATGTATGGAAAAACATGATAAACAAAGAAGAGACCTATGTGAGGGATAAACTTTACATGCAAAGGCACCCTCTCCTGCAACCTAAAATGAGAACAATTCTTCTAGACTGGCTGATGGAGGTAAGCTTTTCTGTGCCTATGAGTATTTCAGGTGTGCTTCTGGTGAAGTTTACTAACTACCATGAGTACATTTCCTGATCTTTACATAACCCATTTAGCTCTAGACACTAATCTTCATCCTCAAGTTTGTCAGTGGCACCAAACTTAAAATATTTTATAAAATGGATTGAGTTGGTGGTGTGCAAACTGACAGTATGTTCTGATAATCATTTAGGTTGGTAGTGGATAATAATAAACTTGTCCCTAAAGCTCCATGATATATATAAGTTCTTTAAGATCACACTGCAGATAAAAGCTGCACAAATCATTATGAAGGTCATTGTAAGAAGGAAGGTGTGGTGGCTTAGAGACCAGATCCACCTCACTACCTCTGTAACTGGTAAGTAGAACGTACTACAGCTAACTCTTCTGTCTGCCTGCCAGTCTTTTTGGCTGTTTGGATGACTTGGTGGCCAGTGTCTGTTCTTAATGCTGAAGTGTTTGTGAGAGTTTTCTGAGGTTTTGGAATTATGCATCTTTGCAAAAATGAGGAACTGATGTTCTGACAGTCTTAGAACATGTGCTTACATTTCCTAAATGGGTTTTCACTCTGATCTCTTTGCTTTGGGAGCTGCTGAAGTGGCAGTCATCTTGTGTCAAAGAAAACTGTTTAACTCATGTTTTTAGTTAACGTGTTTCTTCACAATAACAGTGAAGCAGAAAGCCAATATGAATTTTATGGCTAACTCTTGCTTTTTAAAATACATCTCTAGCATCTGGTTTTTACTTTGTAACACTGTTTTTGACCTTTTGTAATGTCTGATGTCTCTCCAGGTTTGTGAAGTCTACAAGCTTCATAGAGAAACTTTTTATTTAGCACAAGATTTCTTTGATCGGTTTATGGCAACACAACAGAATGTTGTAAAAACACTATTGCAGCTTATTGGTATCTCTTCTTTATTTATAGCAGCAAAGCTTGAGGTAAGTATCTCCAGCTTTAACATAAAAATGGGAATGGACAGACAACACACTTACTGTATATTAGATGCATTTTGGCAGGCTTTATGAAATTTGTTGCTATGACTTTTCAGCTGGGAGAGAGAAAAAAGAGCCTTTTATCCTTTTCAAAATTCTTCCTATTTTTTGTAGAATTGGCTACTATAATTAACATTAGCTAACATCACAGTATATCTCTTTCATCTCTAAAGGTTAGCCTTTTCAGTGTTAGAATAAATATAAAGGTTTTAATTGCAGTTGCTAAATGAGCCTTTGTCTGGCTGCTGTGTACAGAGATGACTTGTTGCACATCTGTTGTCAGTGGAGTACCTGCTGGATGATAGTCTAAGCTATTCTATGTCTCATGGAATGGTTTGGGTTGGAAGAGACCTTAAAGATCATCCAGTTCCAACCTGCTTGCAGATCAGGTGGCTAAAAGTCCCATCCAACCTGCCCTTGAACACTTCCAGGATGGGGCAGCCACAGCTTCTCTGGGCAACCTGTTCCAGTGTCTCTCCACCCTCAGACTAAAGAACTTCTTCCTAACATATAAATCTACCCTCTTCCAGTTTGAAATTGTTCCCTCTCATTTTATCACTACATAGTTGTTTTGTTTTTTTTTTTTACTGGAATAAATTGAACTATTAAAATAAGTAGTGCTTTTAAAGTTCTCACTGCTTGTCTTCAGATACGGCTTTTATGCATCAATCTGTTCTTCTCCAACAAAGGATAAAAAGCCTTTTCTTTAGGATGTATAAAAAATCTTTGTCATTTATAATCCTGTCTTAGTTGTAATGTAGTCAAACATAATGCATGTTGTCCTGCATTATGTACTGTTATACACCCATCACCAGTGAAAGGTGCAGGCTACAAGCAGGAAGGTTGAACAAGAAATGTGTGTAGCAAAGGTTGAGTAGAGCGTCATGAGTAAGGATGGGGGTTATTTAATCCTGTGTTTTGAAATGCTGAATTAGTGGTGGGTTGTCTTTGTTTACTTTTTTTTCCTGCAGCATGAGACTAGTTAAAACCCTTTCCACAAATAATACTTGATCTCCTGTTTTTCAGGAAATTTATCCACCAAAGTTGCACCAGTTTGCCTATGTTACAGATGGAGCTTGTACAGAAGATGAAATCCTCAGTATGGAATTGATCATTATGAAGGTAGTATTTCAAAGTGGAATTAGCTCTACTTTAGTTTTAAAAACATCTAGCACAATCAGACTAAAAGCAGAGAGCCTCAGTTAATTTTGTGTTGCAAAGAGACAATTTCTAATTGAAAAGCAGTGTTCTGTAGGTTACAAGTGATGTAAAGCATCAACCAGTCTGTGTATTAACAAAATGAATTGTTCCCCCACCCTATCAGCAGGAGGAGGTACAGGAGAGGATTAGATTTTTGTGTTTCAAAGATTCCTTGACCAACTGGAATTACAGCTTCTGATCTAGAGTAAATGAAGTTGCATGGTTTAGGTTAGAAACTCTTTACTGAAGTATTGTACATGTCTACTTTTTCAGGCTCTTAATTGGAACTTAAATCCACTGACAGTTGTATCCTGGCTAAACATTTACATGCAAGTTGCTTATTTAAATGAGCTTTATGAGGTATTGCTGCCACAATATCCACAACAAATATTTATACAAATAGCAGAGGTAAGACTGATTTCTTCCTTCAAATGCTATTTCACCTGGAAAAAAAGGTGTTCTTGTGCTAGACTTGTTTAACATCTGTTGTCTTGTAGCTCTTGGATCTCTGTGTGCTGGATATTGGCTGCTTGGAATACACATATGGAGTACTTGCAGCTTCTGCTTTATATCATTTCTCCTCATCGGAGCTGATACATAAAGTTTCAGGTATTGGCATTTATAAACTAAGTCTAATGTGCTTACAAATGTTAAGTCTACATTCAGGCAGATGAGCACATATCTTGTTTTCCAGGTTATGAATGGTGTGAGATAGAGGAATGTGTAAAATGATGAGCACATATCTTGTTTTCCAGGTTATGAATGGTGTGAGATAGAGGAATGTGTAAAATGGATGGTTCCATTTGCAATGGCTATAAGGGAAGCAGGAAGCTCCAAACTCAAACACTTTAGAGGTGTAGCTCCTGAAGACTTGCACAATATACAGACGCACATAAATAGCTTGGATTTGCTGGTATGTATGTGTATATTGAAGATAAATCTGCCTGTAAAAGCTTCTAAATCTTTCCTCTTTGGTTAGAACACACAGTGAAGCATTATCGGATTGAGACTGAGTGTAGTCAGATGATACAAGGCATAAAGTTGTACTCTAGTTCCAAAACTGTTGTGACAGAGAATTGTCTTGGGTCTGATTTGTTCAGTATTTAGTTCAAAAAGGTGATTTTTTTAATTTAAGCTTCTCCTCTCAAATAGCAAGTAATTACCCTAGAAATTGGAATCATACTTCTACCTTTTGGAATACTTCAAATATTGTATGTTAGACTTTTCTCTATAGGAAAGGCAGATAATACAACCTTGTCTGATGAAAGTAAATGAAGACTGATCACTTGAGACTGCTAGGTGACACTGGTTGTTGACAAGAAGTTAAGTGGGAGTGTTTTTTAGCATGAGTAACTTAGAACATCAGAACATTGTTCAACAAATTGTATTAGTTAGTCTAAGATAGTTGGTTTGTGGGTTTTTTCTGATTAGGTTATTTGATTGTAGCAGAAGTTAAAGCTTTTCCTGTTCAGTTGCTTCTCAGTTTTGTCACCTTGAAGATTCAAGTGTCATCATGCTCATAATCAGATTCTGAAAGTTAACACTGATCTTTTGGGGTTTCTATTCACTGTTGTGTACTGCATGGTTTATCAGTTACTGGTAGGGGGGTTAGATACAGATACACATTTCCAGATTAGCAGTCCATCCAGTTATAAAACGTCAAATTATATTGATAGACAAAAATAAAGGTGTTTTTTTCTCTTTTCCTGTGCTTTCAGGACAAAGCTCAAGCAAAACAAGCCATATTGGCTGAACAAAATAGGACTTCACCTTTCCCCACTGGTGTCCTTACACCACCGCAGAGTAGTAAGAAACAGTCTTCTGGACTGAAGCCAATATGACTATAGAAATGGTTGACAGACAGTTTTGCTGAAGTGCCTGTTCTGCTGGTTCTTACTCCTGCTCCATTATGGAAATGCTGCCAGTGAAGTTCATAAGCTTTTATGGAACCTGAAAAGGAAACCTTACTTTTTTTGGTGACAGAAGAATTTTTCTATTTGAAATATTTTTATTGAACATTAAAATATTTTAAAGATATTGATCAAGTACACCAGCCACTTAAATGAACACCGAAGAGTGCTCCAAATGCTGCTATGGAGGGTGATGCTTGATGTGACCAGCTGTTCAGAAAAAGGGCTTGGTTAGTCACTGTGCCTGTTTGTCCTTTGGATAATGTGCAGTCGTACTGTCCTCTGACAAATGGGCAAAAAGCCTCTGTTTTTGAAATGGTTGGTTTACAACTTGATGCCTTTTTAAAAACTCTTTATTGTAAATGCTGCTATGTCTCTTATGTATCCAGTTTTAATAAAAATGCTGTCTAAGACAGCTGGTTTTATGTATATTCCTATTTTTCTTATGGTCAAGATTTTCAGACTGACCACTAGTAGCTGTGGGAGTTGGGGATGAATTATGTAGTAATTGTTGCATTATTTATTTATTACTACTGACTTATCAGTTAAAACTTCTTTTTTGAATACTAAGATAAAATTGTCATGTTGGGCTACTTGGATTTCCCTTAGCCAGGTACAGTTGGCTAGGGAGGGGATAATAAACATGACAAGTATTATGGGGAATCCTTCTGCAACACACTTTGTAATGATAAATGTATTAGGAAATTTTGTCTTAAAATTCCCTGTCTCAAAGCATGTTGTCTGGATTGTTATGCTTAATAGCCAGAAGTGATCAGTAGGAAAGACTTTTCTTATAACATAATCATTTAAACTTTGGGATTTTGGCATAGTCTTTGACAATTAACTCTTCTGTGCAAAATTCTGGAATGGTCACAGGAAGAATTGTCCTTGATCTTTGCAGGGTCTGAGTATCTGAGCAGTCATAGTAAGACCTTTTCTGAAAAGTCATGGTTCTGGAGAAAAAGGAAATAGAGAAATAAATATGAGAAATGGTTGCTTTGTTTTTCTCATTATGTTCATTTTGAAGGATTGTAAACAGCCCTGAAAACTTGTGAGACTACCAGGATTCATCGTGTTGTACTGTAGATAACTTAGGTGCTACCACACTTTGATTTCAGGAAGCTCCTACTCTGTAATGACATTACAGATACTACCTTTCACTTTCAGTTTTAAGCTAAATACAACTTTCTGGTTAGTACCTATTCAAGAGTAAATGCAGGTGTTCCATGTGTTATCTGGGGCTGTGTGGGAAACCTGTATCTGAGAGATACAGAGATCTATGGATGAAACTGTTCAGATAACATCTTGCACTAAATTGGAGTTCTCCTTCAGATGGTAATCCTACTAATTGTATAACTTTTTCCTCCCCCTCCTAAAAGGTCAGCCTTCTTTATTTTGATGGGAAGCATTCCATTCAGAGCATGGGGATCACAGCTTTGCAGCTTCCCAGGTAGGAATGCTATGGTGTGCCAGAGATACTGTACTTTCCAGCAGGGGTGACTCACCTTAAGAGCTATTTTCTTACTCTCTCATTGTTTATGCTTTAAGAATCTTTGTTTCTTGTTGTCTTGCAACATGTGGATACTATGTCTGAATGTGCTGTCTTTCTAGCATAGCTTGAAAAAATTATGCACTGGTTGCTACAGGCTGAAAACTATTTTATGGAGGAATGGTATAATTAAGATAGTTGTCCCTATTAACAAAATAACGAGAAAACAACAAACAAAAACCAAACAACAAACCCCAAAATCCAAAACCAAGAGGGTATTTCCTCTGTATTTCTTTGCTTGAGGAGCCTATTCTCCTAAATTTTGTCCTGGATCAATCTGGAAAAAGATTTGTAGCAGGTGGGGGAAGCAAGTGGGCCGTTCTGCCTGACTAGATTAAAAATAAAAAATAAAAGGTTAAGTGTGCTTACAAGCAGGCTGACGTTTGTGCAACAAAGGTGAGCTCATGTTATATGATAGGTTCCTGCAAGTGGTCTTTGACTTGAAGCATATTACACTGAGAGTTGAGGTGGGTTCTGGGCTCCAGAGAAGGACAGCCCAGGGCAGTGTGTGAGGCTGCTCTTCCTGGTGCATGAGTGCAGGGGGGGCTTGCAGTCACTGGGGAACACCAAGAAAGCAATTTATATGTGTGTTGCTGTATGCTCCTCCACTGGAAAATGTCTTTCTCTTTAATAGCTGCAGAGCAGCATAAAGCATGCTGCAGAGTAAATTGAATTCTGCAGTAACTCAGGTGGCATATGATTATCTTTCTCCTTTGGAAAGGTTTGTTGTAGCTATGTATCAAAACTTCACCTTGGTCTGAAAGCTGGGGACATCAGGGAAACTTGGAACAAGAAAAATGGATCCAGTCCTAATTTTCTGTTACTGCTACAATGAAAATAGAAAGTTGGTGGTAGCTGTGAGAATATTGAGGGAAATAGCCCTAAATGAATGAGCTGAGGCTGCAGTTGTGAGCTGGGGTGGAGGAGGAGGGCTGGTGAGCAGAAAGGATGGAGATGTGGAGGTCTGTGCTGTGAGTCTGCCAGATGCTAAGTTGTTGAAAATGCTATAATTGTCTGAGAGTAGCTCATAGAAATAGTTACCCTGCATAGCTTGTCTCAAAGCAGCCATATGGTCTGCCTGTGGTTATCAGTTTCCTAGGTCTCAGGTCAGCCTCTCCTCTTGGTTCTCAGGGATTGGTTCTCAGGGATTACAACACCAGGAGTTTTACCTCCCTGCTCACATGCAGTGGGGGTGAGCAGCTGGGACAGAGAGCACAGTGGTTACCCAGGTATTCAGCCATCCATCCCATGGGAGCTGCAGGCCCTTTAAGCCTTTCTAGCCTGGCTTGAGGTTCTGGAAATTCCTGGGTGCTGTTTCCTTCATGTATAGCACAGCTGGCTTGTCTCACGGCAGTGAATGCTCTTCCCTCCAGCAGCCTGGGAGGTCAGACCTTGGTACAAGTGCACAAGGCTTCCTGCAGTGTTACCTCTTGGGGGGTGGCATCCAGGCACTTGAAGTTCAGCTTGGGAGTTGCTAAAGGCTGCAACTTGCTTTCCTGCAGACTTCAGGGAGAGTAGCACCTAGTCAGGGCACCACAAGATTAGGTAAAATTCTGCTAGGAAATAATCAGAGGGCCAGTGTGCAGTGCAGAAGGAGAGTTGGCAAGTAAACAGGTTGACATTGAGTAGACTGGCTTTACCTTGTTTCTTGGCATATATCTTCAATTTTGGAGACATTTCCTCTAGGTATTTAACAACATGCATTTAAAGCATCAAATTGTACCCTCATCTTTCAAACCTTTCTCCTTCATAACTCTCTCTCCCCTCAAAAGAAAGGGAGACTCTAGCATGTACTGTGAAATAATACAGGTTAACTCAGACTTCATCTAGCCTTGAGTTTGGAGATTGAAAGCAGCTCCTCCTTGCTGGCAAGGCTGAGGTCAGCTTGACCAGGGCTCTTGTAATCTCTCTGGAGAGCTTTCCTGCTCAGACTATGTAAATAGGGGGTGCAGCTTCATCGTGTGCTGCCTGCGGCAGGAAGCAGCGGGGCTCTTCCTTCCTCTGTGCTGCTCCTGCCTGTGTCCCTGCCAGCATCACCTGTGTCACAGGGTTCTGACCTGCCACCTCTGGGGTGGGCAGTCAGGGTGGAGTAACTGAGAGGGTTGGGTTTGATGTTTTTCTTTGGTGTTTTTGTAGCTAATTTGTGAAACTTCTGTGTTTTGAAGTTAAGACTTCAGCAAAAGTCACTTGCCTTGGGTCGTTGAACAGTAAGTATTTTGGTGATGGGCTCTTTCAGCCGTGCTATCTCCAAACAAGTCACATGGCATCTTATCTTTAAAGTGCAAAACGTTTCTCTCAAGTTTTGAATTGTTTGCTACTGACACAACTTGTACTTAATCAAGCATTTAGCTAAAACTACAGTATATTACAATACTGTGTAATCTGTCTCCTTTCAGTCTCCTGAAATAATCAGTTCAAGCCAAGCACAAGAGGGTAAGTTTGTGTATGAAGCTTTTTATTTCTCTTCATGGTGAATTTGAGTTAATAAAAGGAAATACAGTATTCTTTGTAGACTGAATAAAAACAGGACTTTTAAAACTCTGCAGATTGAAATGTTTAAGGACAAATTAGATCAAATGGCTATCAAGGAAGGAAGGAAAACCTTTCTCATCACAGGGGGCTTTAGTCCTGCAGCTGCTGGCAATTCAGAGGAGCAGACTGTCTATTGGAACTGCATATATTTGCAAACTGGTTTTGTTTCACTGATCTGAATGTGCTCTTGTCTAACAAGTATAGTAAGAAAGCAAATGTATTTCATAATGTACTGATTTTTGGTGTTTCAGCAGGGCTTCAAGGAGGAAAAATGTTTCTATTAGAGATAGGATCTGTGATCACCTGGGATATAAAAAAGGATCATGCAGAGCTTGGTGGGTGCTGGGTGGGTAGACCTGTTCTTCTTCTCCCTGGGTATTTCAGTTCTCAAATACCTGCTTGTTTGAACTGAGGTGGCTGCCAGGAACATAAAGGGGGGGGGATGAAAACCCCCTACTCCTCAGCACAAGACTATGGTCTTGCTTCTGCTGACTGGTGCCTGTTCTCCCAAACATACACTCTGGGATGGAAAAAAGCCTGTGGTGACCTGGACAAGACCTTCTTTTTGTTGGAGGGGTAAGTTACCCTTACCAGCATGTTTTGATGTGATGTAATATCAGTCTCAAATGTAATGTCTGACACGGACTTTGCTAGAGAAATAAGACATTCTTAAATCTCCATGAGCATTGGAAAGAGGAGGAGCTAGTATGTTCACAGACAGGCTGTGGTGGGAAAATGGTTCTGTACATCTAAGTGTACTTAATATCTTTCTGGCAATATTTCAGTTGGGCTTCACTTTGTTTTAAAAAAGTGTTCTGCCACATCTGTTAATGGATTTTTAAGCTATAAAGGCAAAATCAAAGGATCAGATGTTTGGCTTTTTACAAACTTGAAACTGAAATGATACTGGGCTTAATAATGAACTGAACAATTTTCCTGACAGAAAAAAGGAACAAGCTTAAACATTTTCTGGAAAGTCATGCAGTTAAAGGCCATGCTACAGACATGATCTTCCTGGTACTAAAAGCATACCTTGGTATGTAATTTTCTTCCATCAGAGGCAGATTCTTTTATTTTCAGTGGGGTCAGGGGAACTGTGAACAAGCAATTTCAAAGGAACTTGTGCTCTCACTGCAATGACAGTAAAGCTGTAATAAAGCCATGTGGGAAAGGGCTTGGTTTTCCCCCCACAAGGCAAAAGAAGCAGGGACAGCTGTG